CTAAAAGAAGTAACTAAAATGAGCAAAACTGCAGCTAAAGGCTAAAATAATTAACTAAAATGAGCAAAACTGCAGCTAAAGGCTAAAAGAAGTAACTCAAATGAGCAAAACTGCAGCTAAAGGCTAAAGTAATTAACTAAAATGAGCAAAACTGCAGCTAATGATTAAAAGAAATAACTAAAATAAGCAAAATTGCAGCTAAAGGCTAAAATAATTAACTAAAATGAGCAAAACTGCAGCTAAAGGTTATAAGAAATAACTCAAATGAGCAAAACTGCAGCTAATGATTAAAAGAATTAACTAAAATAAGCAAAATTGCAGCTAAAGGCTAAAAGAAGTAACTAAAATGAGCAAAACTGCAGCTAAAGGTTAAAAGAAGTAAAATGAGTGGAAACTTGCTAAATAAATGCTAGTTATTGTAAAACTGAAGTAGTAAAACCTGATAAAGCTAAACTTAGCAAAACAGTGGCTGAAATTAGCTAAACTGGAGCTAAGTCTAAGTTTATTGTTGGATGTCACTGGGACCCAGTGTACATAATCTGGTTCCACCACATGTACCACATGAGCTGTGTATGACAAATAAATCTCTGACTCTGAAATTGTTTAACTAGAAGCTAAAAGTCACAAAATGCTAACTAGAAGCTAAAAGTAGCTCAATAGGGATAAAACAGTGTAGTTAGCTGAAGCATAGTTTAAACTGATTTCTAGATCTTCATGTAATATAAAGAAAATATTTGTATATAAAGTTAAATATTTTGAAAAGTATAAAAGTAACAAAAACCCAAAGTCTTTTCATCCATCTTCTGAATGAGCCGAACGTTTTTAACACGTGCACGACTAAAATAGCACGAGGTATGCAGCAGCAGTAGTTATAAAAACGTGCAGAGAATGAAACACGGTAAAATATGAACGCTGACTCAGCGTTTCCACAGAAACGCTGAGTCAGCGTTTCCACAGAAACGGTGAGTCAGCGTTTCCACAGAAACGGTGAGTCAGAGCCTCGGGGGTTCTCGGGGTTTGTCACAGAAATAAAAAGTTAAAGCCGACACACCTGGTGCGTTAACGTCCGACTAATGGTTTAATTTGAGTATTTAAGTTTCAGTCCTGAAGAAGTCGTCCTGCTTCGACTCAAACGGGTCCTCCTCCAATCAGGTCTGAGGATTCTGGACTTCCTGAAGCAGCTTAACAAAACCCAAACCTGACCCGGTTGGGTTTTATCTGGAGCTTTAGCTGTTGTTTTCAAACGAACCACCTGTCGGCAGCCAGGTGAACAGGTGTGGTGTCAGAGCTGAGTCCATGCCATGGGTCTCACTTTAGACCCGTCGGACCCGGCTGGGTCAGAGCCCAGGTTGACCACCTGCTAACAGAACCTCATTAAGACCAGGTCCAGAGTCCCAGGACCTGGGCTAACGTGCCGCAGCTCGCTGGTCTTCCCCCTTTATTAAACGTCAAGTCTCCCATTAGTCGGTTATTTGGTTAAAAATATCCACACCACCGGATCAGAACCACATGGTCCGAATAAAAACTACTTTAAACAGTCTTAAAGTTTAAAAATAAAGAAATAACCGTTTAAAGGGATAGTTCAGATCTTTTGAAGCCCTCTTAAATGCTCAGCTCTTTTAGCAGTTATCAAAATGCTCGGCTCATTCAGGAGGTGGCTGCTGCGACTTCTTGCTTTTGTAACTTTTGTACTTTTTAAAATATTTAAATTTAAAATAATATTCCTCACAGAAAACACTTGGATCTCTTAAGCATGAACCTAGAAGGAGCAGAACAGAAGCTAAAAATAAAGTTAGCAAAACAATAGCTGAAATTACAACTGTGACCCTAAATTTAAATTGAGCAAAATGGTAGCTAAAAGCTAAAAGCTAAAAAAAAAAAAAAATTAGAAAAACAGCACAAGTGCACAAAAAATATATATACTTTAAGTTTTAGCTAGTGTTTATGCTACTTCCAACTTTCAACCAGCTTTTCACTCATTTAAGCTTTTACCTAACCTTTTGCTATTAGCTAGCCTTTGGCTTATTTTAGCTTGTGGGCTAGCCTTTTGACTTTTGGAGTTTATGTAGCCTTTGGCTACTTCTAGCGTTTGTCCAGCTTTTTGTTACTTTTAGGTTTAAGCTAGCCTTTTGTTACTTCAAGCTTTTAGCTAATAAATTGCTACTTTTAGCTTTTGACACCCTTTTATGACTTTTAGCTTATAGCTAGCATTTTACTATATTTAGCTTTGTACCGAACTTTCTGCTACTACTAGCTTTTGGCCAGCTATTCACTAGTTTTAGCTTTAACTAACCTTTTGTTACTTTCAGCTAGCATTTCAGTGCTTTTAGCTTTTGGCCATTCTTTGGCTACTACTCTGTTGTTTTTCTTTTAACTTTGGTTCTGTTTGTTTTAGCTTTAACAACTTTGTTTTAGCTGCTTCATTCAATTATTCGATTTCATCATCGTCCTTCTGCATTCATCAGCTACACTCACGAAGTTCAGTTACTCTAGATAACAGTCAGTGTCTTACCTGTTGAAGATGACTCTTTGAAAAACGTCAATTTAAAGAAATCTTTTATTTCAGACCGGACTGATGAGCTAATGGCTAGTCAGAATGCAGCCAACACTAAAGTAAACACGTATTTTTAAAAAACGACTCCAATCTTAAACTGTTTATTGTTGCCCATGGGCAATAATTGTTTTCTGTTAGCAAAATATCTCTTGACCTTCTGGATGGATTTTGGTGAAAATGGTTATCGTACATCGAGTCCATTCAAGATGGCCGTCGCAGCCGTTTCACATCAGCAAACAGAAACACGGCTCTAACTCTGTCGTTTTTACAGGTAATGAGCTAAAGTTTTGTGTGGTAGTAGCTGAGAGTCACCTGAAACACAGTCAGAGAGCTGAATTAATGACCAGGTCTTGTGACAATGCACCGCAGTTTTTATTCAAGTATTGACCAAATTTGACATTTTTCTTTCACAACTTCAGCTGAACTGATCAGATTTAAAATAATTTGAATCTGGTCAGCTTGTCCTGATCTGATGTTTCTTGTGGCGTCCGTCTCTAAAGTTTGTATATTTACTTTATTTTCCTTCTTGTCTAAACGTTCCCCTCCTGCCGTGACGTCCACCATGTTGGATCCAGTGAAGTTTCTGAGTCGGTTTAATCTGCCTCACGTTCATGAAATTAGATTCCTGGAGGTTAAATGAAGCTCGCTGCTTTGACTGATAGAAGGTGAAGCTTTCAGTCCTCACCATCTGATAAAACGCTCATTTAGCTCTTTTAAAGGCTTCGTGGGTAAAGGTGGGGGATTTTCGGCTGTTTAATATTTTATAAATTGTTCTCCTGCAGGTTCTGACTCCGGAGGAGCTGATTAAAGCCCAGAGAGCCGTTGCTTTCGGCTGCATCAAATATGCCGACCTTTCACACAACCGCATCAACGACTACGTCTTCTCCTTCGACAAAATGCTGGACGACCGGGGCAACACGGCGGCGTATCTCCTCTACGCCTTCACCCGCATCAGGTGACGGCCGTTGTTTCCCAGAAGCATCGTTTCCTGTTATTTGTGTACAGACTACGTACGTTCACGTTACAGGTTTTTATAGTACAGTTGGATGAATGGATGGTTGGATGGATGAATGGGTGGATGGTTGGTTGGATGGTGTGTGAACACTAAGCTGTTGGTCTGAATGGTGGACGTTGGTTGGATGAAAAGTTGGATGGCTGGTTGAATGAACAGTTTTTAGGATGGTTGAACAGTTGGATAGTTTTGTGAGTCAGCACTCAGCTGTTGGTCAAAACAGTTGGGTGGATGGATGAATTGATGGTCGGATGGATGAACGGTTGGGTTTTTGGATGGATGGATGGTTGGTTGGATGAACAGTTGGATGTTTGGTTGAATGAACAGTTGGATGGATGGATGAATGGTTGTATGGATGAACAGTTGGATGTTTGGATGAATGAACAGTTGGATGGATGAACAATTTGATGGTTGGATGGATGAACAGTTGGATGGTTGGATGGATGAACAATTGGATGGTTGGATGGGTGGTTGGTTGAATGGTGTGCATGAACACTCAGCTGTTTGTCTGAATGGTTGGATGGATGGTTTGTTGGATGAGCAGTTGGATGGAAAGTTGGATGGAAAGTTGGATGAGAGGTTGGATGGTGTGTGTGAACACTCGGCTGTTTGTCTGAATGGTTGGATGGTTGGTTGGATGGTGTGTGTGAACACTCTGCTGTTTGTCTGAATGGTTGGATGGATGTTTTGTTGGATGAGCAGTTGGATGGATGTTTTGTTGGATGAGCAGTTGGTTGGATGGTTGGTTGGATGGTGTGTGAACACAGTTTGTCAAAAATTAAAACCTTTTTTTTCGTATATTGTCTGAGTTGGAACAAACCGAACGTGGTCTTCGTTGTTTTCATGATTAATTAATTAATTTATTTATTTGTTTATTAATGAAACTTGTTTTGTTTAAACATCAAAGAGAAAAAACCTCAGAATGGAAACTGAAAACTTGTTTCAGGTTTTTGTAGAAACTTAAAGTGAGAAGGAGCCGTTTGGATCCAGAACCTCCAGATGGAGGTGAGATGAGCTCCTGGTTCTGACCGGTGGTTTGGAACTGGACTGGGTTTGTCCTGGATCATTTTAGGCCCGTCTCTTGGAGGCACCTGATTAGCTCGGACCCTCCAGTCCCGGTGTTGGCTGCTGACCCGGTCCGGCCTGGTTCAGGTTTAGAAGCAGCTCTCGTCAGGTCCGGTCCACCACCATGAAAAGTTAAAAAAGTTGAACCTGAACTTCTCTCAGCTCCGGGGCCGAGTGGAGGATCAGTGCGGTGGTGTCGAGCGGGTTCCCTCTCTGAGTCGTGGGGTCTTTGATTCTGAGATTAAAGTCATAATCCGATGGATTCCTGACGTTAATCTCAGAATTCTGACTTTTTTCTTCTGAATTAAAAAACAAAATAACTGTTGCATCATGACCCTCACCCTCTTCTGTCGAGTTGTCTAATGAAATTTACTGACACAAATCTGTTCAGCGGGCCATGAGATATTTTGCTAACAGATGTACGCTTATGCAAAAAGGTAATGTGATGGTCCAGCTTTTATTGTGGCGAGCGGTGATCCAGCTTTTATTGTGGCGAGCGGTGACCAAACCTGGACGTCTAAAACCAGAACGTAGATCTGAGCTACGTAGAACCAGACTGAGTGAACGATGGAGCAGAGGACTAACGTGTGGCGTCTGGTCTCCGTCAGGTCCATCGCCCGTCTGGCCAGCCTCGACGAGTCCGCGCTGAAGACGGCGGCGAAGACCACGGAGATCCTTCTGGACCACGAGAAGGAGTGGAAGCTGGGGAGATGCATCCTGCGCTTCCCCGAGATCCTGCAGAAGATCCTGGACGACCTGCTGCTGCACACGCTGTGCGACTACCTGTACGAGCTCGCCACCACCTTCACGGAGTTCTACGACAGCTGCTACTGCGTGGAGAAGGACCGGCAGACAGGTGAGACCCCCCCCCCCCCACACACACACACACGTATGATCCACTGGGTGCTCCGCTGCAGACGAGGTCCACTCAGTGACTGACAGGAGCCCAGACCATCAGCCCTCCAGCCTCCACCACCGTGCTGACAGCTGGGAGGAGCTGCTGACTCATGGGATGTTCCCAACATGCTGCAGTGCATTGTGGGTAAACATCTGTACTTGGGTCTTTTGTGCTTCATTCAGATCAAATGTTACAAACCTGCAGTTTCACTGATCAATGTCCAGTTCAGTGATTCTCATGGGGGGTGGGGGCAGGAGGTCATTAAGGGGGGCAGGAGGTCATTAAGGGGGGCA